AAGAAACAATTCCTGTTCCACAATGGCTCAGATCTCCTCTGGAGCAGGATAAGGACTTCAGGGATCTATTGACCAGAGAAGGGAAAGCACAGCTACCAGCTGGAGCTTGGAGGGCAGGAGGAGCCCTGCTATTTTAATGCAACAGATCCTGCGGGCCCCTCATCTCCTTTCTGTTTTTCTGGTTGTTTATTGCCTTCATCATTCCAACGCAGAGGCTTGGAAACAAACCAACACCAACCCTCCTCCTGCCAGACACGGGGCCTGCCCTCCATCTTCTCTCCTATGTTGTATTTCTAAGGTGCCTGTTTCCAGTATCTAGGAATTCTGTTTTCACACTCTGAGGGGTGTGAATCTGTCAACCAGAACAACCCTTCACTAGCTGTAAAGTGGTGCCATGATTCAGGAACTAATTAACAGCTATTAGATAATGCAATTAGCACCACAAACTGCCACCCTACCCTAAGGATACTTTCCCTTTGTGAGCGTGAACCGTAAATGTCTAGCATCTTCTGTTCCTTCTTTTTTTCTCTCCTCTCCTCTCCTCCCCTCTCCTCTCCTCTCCACTCCTGCTCGTGGTGGTAGCTGCACAGACTGCCCAGCCCCACATCACATCAGCAGTTTGACCTGAAAGGATTAATCCCCTTAAGACTTTTACCCTCTCTGCACTTTTAGGAAGGCCAAGACAAGCAGGGAGCTGGCAGTGGGTCTGGTTTGGCTCTTTCCAAATGTGACAGCAAATGTGATGTACCCAGGCCTAGTCTTTGGCACCCAGACAGAGCAGGAGGTGATGTGTGCCTTCTCCTGGAATGTGCCTGTGGTGGAGGGGGCCACCTTCCCTCTCTGCTGGAGGCAGGCAGCACCCAGAGTCCCACAGGATCCGTTCAGCCAGGAGCTGACAGCCACAGCCCCTCCATCCTGTCCCTGGGCTCGAGGTCCCTTTCAGTTGTGCTGTGGCTCCAAACCCATGCAGGGCTAAAGCTCATTTCCCCTGGGAGCAGCTCGTGCTCATAGGTGTCTGCTAAAGCACGGCTTTCTCTGGTTCCTCTCCTTCCCCTGTGAACATCTTCCTCCCCAGGCTGGTGTGTGAGCATGGAGCTCGCTTTATGCTGGGGTTCCTTGCAGAGCTCTGTTCATTCCCAGAGGCAGAATGTCACTTCAGCCACATGTGGACCAGACATAGCTTTGCCCCCACTTGCACCTGCTCCATGGGTATCCCCAGCCCTGAGGACGGTGCTGGGATGGGGACAGGAGAGGAAATGACAGGAAAAGGAGATGACTGGTGATGACATGTGGGACAGGGGCCGTGGAGCAGAGGGAGGCTGTGCAGTACAGAGAGAAGGTGTGGGGAACCCTGGGGCAGGAGGGCTGCTTGCTCCAGGAGCTCATCCATCACATGGGTGTGTAAAAATACCAACCTCTCCCATTGCCTTTGCTGTGCTGGTGCAGAGGGCGGCCAGCTCCTTCCACATAAGGAGCAGCAGGGGCGGGAGGGAACTAAAGCCTCCATCCCACGTGAGCTGAGTGCTCAGCAGGGGCTCAGTCACGAACTGCAGCTGATGGAGCACCAGCATCCAGCTACTGCAGATCCTTGGTCTCAGGATGATCACCGTGTCCATGACAGGGCTTTCTCCTCTGCAACCTGGCAAGAGGCTGGAGGCAGTTGGCAGGAGCTGACAGGCTGGGAAGGCTTGCTGGTAAGGCACATGAGGTGCAGCAAGGAAATAGCAGGAGTCTTCTGCTGTGGTCTCGGGTGTCACCCTGTGACAGAGCACGGGCTTTGCTCTTACTCTGGAGTTGAATCCTCACACAAGAGTGGTCACACCCATGATTGCTGGCAGCAGTGGAAACCCTGCTGTGCCCACTGCCCACAGTAGCTGGACCCCACCCAAATGACAATTTTCTCTGCTTGGATCTGTGGCTGTGTGGGAAGGGAAAGGTATTGGTGACCACTGCAGCAGCTACAGAAACTCTTGGACTGGATGATGCTATCAGTATGGAGTTGGAATCTCCCAACAGCTTCGATGGAGAGGAGAAAACCAGCTGTAAATCACTGCCAGAAGTCTGAGGGAATTCGCTGTATCTGGCTGGTGCAAGCAGGTGTGAGAGAGCACCCACTGAGAAAGAATGGTTGTGTGCAGGCTGAAAAGCCAACTGGTGTCACAGGTAAGGGTGTCAGCCCTAGGAGTCCTTCTGAAGTGTTCTCTCAGCTTTGTCTCCTCCCTGTCTGTGGTGTCACCATGAAAGTAGGGTGAAAAAGGGAATGGAGACAGAGAGGGTGATGTAGGATGGGGGCTTTGAGGGGAGGGAGAGAAGAAATGCACTCCTGGAAGTGCAGGAAGCAAGCACTGGGCACTGGAGTACACAGGCAAGGCATTTAGTGGGGAGACACCGAGTCCTGGAGAGGTCCCTTGGTGTCTGGTGTCACAGCACTGGGAACAGTGATGTGGCTGGCATGAGGGTGGAGATGGTGTCACACTGCTGAGTTTGGTGCAGCTCCACAGCTCTCCTGTGTGCTCTCTCCATCTTTGGACACATGATGGGGGTGCAGACAGAGGTGTGACTGCCTGAGGGCTGTGCCCCCACCCAGGCCCTTCCCACACAGCCTGGATGCTCTCCATCTCAGAGGCAGAGATCTGTCCCTAGTGCCCATTCAGACATGATACATGGCTTGGTCAGCTGCACAGACCTACCGAATTTGTAGCATCCTTGGCCTTCTCCCAGCTCCAGAGTGAGCTGCCTCCTCTGTGCGGGAAGGCAAAGGCAGTGCTGAGCGGTCCCAGTGAGCTCAGAGAGGGTGTTGGGGGCAGAAAAGTGAGACAGGGGAAAGGAGAGTAGAAGATGGAGAAAGAAGGGATGCCCGGTGGGCTGGGGTACGGCAGAGAATAGCCAGGGGATCTGAGGCAAGGGTGAGCAGCGTCCACAGCTCCCAGCTCACACGTGTTGCTCTGTCTGTGGTGTATGTTTTCTTCACACCTTCAAGAATTTTCAGTCCTCCTCCTTCCCTCAAACAGGGGATTGCTTTATTTTTTTGCTTTTAGGTGAAGGCTTGTTGTGCTTAAGTGCTCAGCGTTTGAGCCTCCGCCCTGAGGCGGCACTTGCCTGTGCCTCCTCTCACCAGTTTGCAGCGCGACCTCTGGGTGGCATCCAAAGGCTCTCGTGTGGTGCTGCCGCAGCCTTTCCTCCCGGTCTTGGGACACGTACCCAACAGCTCAGGGTTGAGATGGACTTTTCTTACTTTGGGTAACTGCGAACACAAGCCTCTGTCAAGGTTGATAATTAATTAGACACGCTTAGAAGAGGATGCCAGTTCATGAACAAAAGTGAGAAAACTGAAACCCACATTTTAGCAGAGACGATGGAAAGGTTTCTTTTCAAGACTTTCAAATTCTTCTTGGAAGAGCTGGGATAGATGTCTGTATGATTGCTAGCTTGTCTGATCAGTTTGATTTAGCTGTTACAAGAATGACAGTTAAATCTCCCCATCTCACCAAAGTGAAGAAATTAAAACTCATTTCAATTGTACTGAAACCAACCCCCAAACTGCCATGATTATATATTTCTAAGCCATTTTATACACTTATCACCTCTTCTCACATCCCTGGCTGGGTGCCCAGGAAGGATGGCAGCAGAAACCTCTTTCCCTCTCCCTTGATGCATCCCTTGTGCTTGGAGCTGGGTGCAAAGCTCCAAGCCCGAGCAGCGCACCAGCTTCCTCACCCCATCCGTATCTGGCATGTAGCATCTACCAAAGGGCATTGCTTTCTTTTAAAATCCTTTTGTCTTCACAGACATGCTTAGAGGATAATGGTAGAAAGGTATTTCTTTGTCCCTCATCCTCTTCTTTTCCTTGCACCTGTAAGAGGAGCTCCACCACTATCGCAGCTGTATCCTTGCTAATGCAGAAGCTGTCTAAATGGCTACATCAGACCCTGGCTTTAGCATCTCAGCAGCCACATTTCCATTTAATTACACCTGTATCTCTTTAGAAAGTGCTTATATTAACAACTTGGCTATTTGCTGATGGCAGACATCCCCTACCCTCTCCACAAATGAAAGACAAGGGCATTTTTTTTCAAATACTTATAACAGACAAACTGATCTCAAAGCCTGCCAGACCCTGTTTGGAAGAGGTGCGTGTTAATGGCACGTCTATACATTCAGCAAAATCAGCTTCAGGCATTCAGGCTTCCCAGCCATTTGGAGCCATCTCCCAAGCCAGAGCCACACTGCTGAGCGCTCCCGCTGTGGGGACACTCGCTGGCTCCTGCTGGTTTCCTGGCAGCAGCGCCCATGGGGCTGAACCCCTGCCCCAGGCACCAGGAGGAGCTGCTGTAGCGGCTGCCCTTGATGGTCTGGCAGGGTTGGAATGCCCCCAGAAGCCAGGGTGAGGCTGGTGAAGGCCCAGCATGTTTTGGAGGCCTGGATAGTGTAGGAGAGGCAGGTTCAGTGGGAAGCTCTTCTGTCCAGCCCAACTCCCTCAGTGCCTTTGCTTTTCCTTTTCTTTCCTGGAAATTCCCTTTCATCTCAATAAAGCACTTCTTGTCTATTGATTTTTTTTTTTTTAAGGTCCATTCTACTCTTACCTTGGGTGATTAACCACAGGCATCTTGGTTTGGATGAAGGCAGTAATTCTCTCCGTAATCCTCATCGCTTTTCATAAATAATTCCATGTATCCCGCTGAGGTGTCTCCACACTGTACATCTCCTGGCCTGGGTGGCTGCAGCTGCACTGTGATGTGGGACTGGGGGAAGGGGTCACCACTTCCCAGTGTCACTGACTGATGGCACTGTGCAGCTCCCTCCCTTTCCTGAGCCTGCTGCGCTGTGCACTGCGCCACACTAGACCACCCATTTCAGCCTTTCTTGGCTTTTCAGCACCTGTATCTAAGCAGTGTCACCCTTTGGTCAGGGCTGCCTGTGTTGGACAGGCTGGTTCCCTCAGTAAGATGCTGTGGGATGCACACAAGCTGTGGTGTAACTTGCTGTTTTCCTTCTCCCAGATTTCATCTTCCAGCAGGAACTATTTGCTGCGAGAGACACAGGTGAGCCGAGCGGACCCCGGCACGGGTTTTGTGGGTTAGGCCCCTCTTGGGGAGTGCTTTGGGGAGGTCAGTGGAACATGCCTGGGGCATGCCATAAACCTGCTCTTGTCCCTGGGGCAGGGCACTGGCTCCATGCTGTGCTGTTCTGGCAGTGAGTGCTGTATGTGCATCCCCCCTGGGCTCTGCAGTCCTCTTTCCCCATCCCTTTGGCCCCCCTTGTGCCTCTCTGGGCCACACAGGGTTGTGCTCCTGCTGGGATAGGGAAGGAAGGGACCATCACACCCTGGACATGGGACTGTCCTAGCCCCATTCCTGCTTTTCTCCCTGCAACTCATTTGCCTCCTCTACTGCTAAATAGGGATACAAAAAATGCCTCCAATGGACTCCTGGAGTGACAAAGAGAAGTCCAGGAATGCCAGGAGATTTTTGAGCACTAGCCAACAGCAGTGCTGGTCTGGGAAACTGAGGAAATGCTGCCAGGACAGGCTGGCAGGTCTGATATTCTCCCTTTCTGTCCTCGCTCTCCTTGCAGATCCCATGCACAACCTCTCTGCTCAGCCCTGGCAGGCAAAGATGGCCAACCTGACCTATGACAACTTCACCCTGGGCAACCGCTCTGAGGTGGCCGTGCAGCCTCCCACCAACTACAAGACAGTGGAGCTGGTTTTCATTGCCACTGTCACCGGCTCACTCAGCCTCGTCACCGTGGTGGGGAACATCCTGGTGATGCTCTCCATCAAGGTGAACCGCCAGCTCCAGACTGTCAACAACTATTTCCTCTTCAGCCTGGCCTGCGCAGACCTCATCATCGGGGTCTTCTCCATGAACCTCTACACGGTCTACATCATCAAAGGCTACTGGCCACTGGGGGCCGTGGTGTGCGACCTGTGGCTGGCTCTGGACTATGTGGTGAGCAATGCCTCTGTCATGAACCTGCTCATCATCAGCTTTGACCGGTACTTCTGTGTCACCAAGCCCCTGACGTACCCGGCCAGGAGGACCACCAAGATGGCAGGGCTAATGATTGCGGCTGCATGGATATTGTCCTTCATTCTCTGGGCCCCTGCCATCTTGTTCTGGCAGTTCATTGTGGGCAAGAGGACAGTCCCCGAGAGGGAATGTTACATCCAGTTCCTCTCCAACCCAGCGGTGACATTTGGCACAGCCATTCCTGCTTTTTACCTGCCTGTGGTCATCATGACGGTGCTGTACATCCACATCTCCCTGGCCAGCAGAAGCAGGGTAAGGAGGCACAAGCCTGAGAGCAGGAAAGAGAGGAAAGCCAAGTCCCTCAGATTCCTCAAGGGCCCTGTGGTCAAACAGAACAACAATAATTCTCCCAAGAGGGCCGTGGAGGTGAAGGAGGAGGTGAGGAATGGGAAAGTGGATGACCAGCCATCCGCCCAGACAGAGGCCACTGGCCATCAGGAGGAGAAGGAGACATCCAATGAGTCCAGCACTGTCAGCATGACCCAGACCACAAAAGACAAGCCCACAGCAGAAGTCTTGCCAGCAGGGCAAGGACAGAGTCCAGCCAACCCCCGAGTGAACCCAACTTCCAAGTGGTCCAAGATTAAGATTGTCACCAAGCAGACTGGGACTGAATGCGTCACCGCCATTGAGATTGTCCCAGCTAAATCAGGTGCCTCTAACCACAACTCCCTGGCCAACAGCCGCCCAGTCAATGTTGCCAGGAAGTTTGCCAGCATCGCCAGGAGCCAAGTACGGAAGAAGCGCCAGATGGCTGCCCGAGAGAAGAAAGTCACCCGAACCATATTTGCCATCCTGCTGGCCTTCATACTCACATGGACCCCCTACAACGTGATGGTCCTCATTAACACCTTCTGTGAGACCTGCGTGCCCGAAACAGTGTGGTCCATTGGCTATTGGCTCTGCTATGTCAACAGCACCATCAACCCAGCCTGCTATGCCCTCTGCAATGCCACTTTCAAGAAAACCTTCAAGCACCTTCTCATGTGCCAGTACAGGAACATTGGCACAGCCAGATAAACTGGTACTCAGGGACCACTTCAGTAACCTTATGGAAACCCTTCCTTTTGCCTCCTTTGCCAGCGGGGGTTCTTCTGCTCCCCACTCACTACAGTGCAGACTGTACAGTGATTGCAGAGGATGCCCTTCATCCAACGCTGACAAAAATCCAAGGCATTTCTGAGCTGCAGGTCCTTCCAGTCGCCCTGGGCCTGGGGACTAGATCAGGGAGTCACTGGGAAAGCCAGAGGCAAGAGGAGATGTGGTCACCAGGAGCACTTCCTAGCTCCATGCTCTTGAGATTGGCCAAATGGCATCAGTGTTTCTCCTAAGACTGGATGTACCTTTTTCCCCAGCTGACCATCTCCAAGGCATCAGAGCTTGTCTGCATGCAGACGGGCTAATGCTGGATGCTTTCCATTGGCTTATAAAGTGTTTATTACCCAAGAAATGAAAAGAAACCAGGGTCAAACATTTGCTAGCATCTTGGACCAGGCTGGCTCAGGCAGGTTAATGGGGAGTCCTGCTGGCCCAGCCAGGCCCCCTGTGAAGGCAGTCAAGATTGGACCTTAACAGATGTGGCAAGATGCTTCCTTTCCCTTGAGAGTACCATCAGACATCCTCACCCAGGGTCCTGGGGCAGAATATTTCCCTGTGCTCTGGCTCTGCTCTGCCCTTCACGTCCTTTGTGCCCTCAGACAGCAATTTGCTGGAAAGACAGACAGACTAACCAAGCATTTCACTCCTGGGCGAGGAGTGTGAAACCCAGTTGCCTCTGACAACGATGGCAACTAAAACTGCAAAGAAAAGCCCTGGTGTGGTGCAGGACTTCACTTCACAGCCCTGGGGGAATGGGGCCCCTGAGTGGTGGGCAGCAGTGACTGTGAAAATAACTGTCCTTGGGAGGGACAGGGAGGACCTGGGGGTCTCAGAAGAGGGTGGGAAGAGGGTCTGCAGTGTGGCCAAGGCGCCCCGTGTCTCATCTGGGCCATAAGCAGTCCCTGCTCTCCCCACAGTGGGTGTGGGAGGCCTGATGCATGGCTCTGGAGGCAGGAGGGGATGACGGTGGCCTCCAGCCCCGCTCCTGCCCTGAGCGCAGGGGGCTCCTCCATGGAGGCCGAAGGAGCTGGCCGCTGAGCTTTGTGAATGGATGTAACGCTGTCATGGGTGCTGTGGCAGAGCCCTCAGCATGCGGGCTTCAGCCAGCGCCCCCAGCCTCCTCCCAGCCCACCCCTGTGTGCAGCCCAGCCCTGGGGCTGCTCCCCAGCTTCTCCCAGAGCCAGGTGCAAGCCTTGGTGGATGCAGCCAGGTGCAGGCAAGGGATGGGATGGGGCCACTCTAGCACTGGAAAACTCTGAGTCCGTGTGTCCTTCCTGTTCTGATGCCAGGGTGCAACCGGCAGAAAGGCTGCCCCAACCCAGACGGGAGCCCCGCCATCACTGCCTTTAGGGGTACCCAAAATGCCTGGTGGGTTTCTGGGTATTTTTAAATGGTTACAACTGCAGCCCAACACACCCCAAGACAAATAAAGACCTTGGACCAGGAAACTAATGTCCATGGTGTGAGGAATGAATGAGTCATCACCTGGCTGGCTCCTTCCCTGCTTCCCAGTGTCACCCACTGGTGACATTTCCTGCAGCCCATCCCTTCTGCCAAGAGCAAGGGGGAGCGACCTGAAGCGTTGTTGCAAAGAGGCTGTGAGGTCTGGTGCTTTGTCCAGGACCATGTGCATGTGGCACCCAGGCCACCACCGCCAGCTGCATGGTAACTTCACTGCTGGTGCCATGGGGTCAGCAAAACTGGGGTTTGCTGGGGTTCCAGCACAGCAGCACCTTGTGGGGACAACAGGGGAGCTCTGATACTTTTTTAAAAAAGATTTTTATTGGAAAAGAAAAAGAAAAATTCCAAAAGGAGAGCTCCCACCCAGCGCTGGTGTTGGCATGGCAAAGGCAGAGGGGCTGCAGCCCCAGCATGGACACACATGGTTAGAAGTGACAGAGAGGAGACACAGTTGCTTCTCAGGGTGATGGCTGTGTTTTCCTCAACTGCTGCAGGTAAGTCATGTTCCAGCCAAAGGGATGCTGGAATAAACCCCCTGAGGTGAGAACAGTCCTTGAGTGAGAAGCTTCAGCGATGGGGTTACTCAGGCATTCAACAGCCAGCCCTTCCCTCTGGCACTGGTACCTGGTGGAGGAGCAAGGAGGCTCCTGGGCTTGCAAAAGTATGTGCTAAAGGCAACTCATTTGTGCTGGAAGGTGGAAAAATATGTGTTCCATCCCAGCTCTCAGAGCACATTGCAGTGAACCCCAACACCAGCCCAGAGGAGGTGAGCAGAATGCACTGGTAGTGCCCAAGGGGCAGCAAGGAAGGAGGCAGCCTGTCCTGCAGGGTGGGTGGGTTTGCTCTCTACAACACTAATGATTAAAACAAGGCATCTCAGTGAAAGAGGAGGTCATGGAAAGGAGTAAGGAGAGGAGGAGGAAGACTGTAGTGTGGGCCAGCTGCAGCTGGACATCCAGTCCTGTAGGCACCGTGTTGAGGGGCCGATGAGGACGCTGGTTTCCTGCTCTAGTCCTTCCCCTTGCCCTTCTTTGCTGCATTCAAGAAGCACAGGAGAAAAGAGTTAGTGCATGTGCTGGCAGCTCATGGTGCCCCAGACACTGCTGTGGTAGAAACATAGCCAGCATGGCTGGCTGAGCACGGCGCAGAGGCTGCATCCCTGCAGGCAGCCTTCTGCCATGCCAAACCACGTTTTGCACCAGTCCTAGTGAGGAGAGCAGGGAATCCCCATCCCAACAAAAATGGCAGAGGTTGGTGGGGGACCAGGGTTTTCCTAGTAGCACCTGCATCCTACCCAGCCAGCAGCTGGACTTCACAGTACAAAGAAAAGAGCATCCTATGAAATCCCCTACACCACCAGCAAAGCCAAGCCCAAGGCCAAGGTAGCTCTGAAAAACCCCTGGCCAGGGTTGCAACAGGACCCTTCTGGGGACATGAGTGGTGGGAACTGACCTTTGGACTTCGACTTGATCTTGGAGGAGCAGGGCTTGGTCACATAGACAGTCTCCTCACACTGGGCATTGTACAGGGCTTTCTTCAGGATGCCAGAGCGAGTCTTCAGGCCTGTCTGAGCACTACAGCCTCCCCAGCTCTCAAACTTGTACTTGCAGTCGGCTGGATGAGAGGGGAGAGGCATCAGAACCAGCCAGGACCTGGTGGGACATTAGCCCCCATCACCCAGCACAGGGTGGTCCCCAATGACCCCACCTCCATGTACCCACCTCCAAATTTCTTCTTCCAGTTGCAGGGGATCTTGCACTTGAGCTTCTTACTCTCATCTTTGCAAGTTCCCTCGCGGTAGCCCAGGCCGCAGTCCTTACTGTTGGGAACACAGGGTCCCCAGCGCCAGTCCTCACACTTGGAGGCATCCTTCTTTGCCTTTTCTGTGCGGAAAAGTGGAGTGGGTGCTCTCTGCAGGGACAGGGGAGCATGCCCCACTCTGCCCCCTGCCCCACTGGTGCCCTGCCCCAGGCTGTCCCTCACCTTTCTTGTTCTTGCCAGCCTCAGCGGTGGCAGCCACCAGGATCAGCACCAGGAGGAGGAGGAGACTCCGGACCTGCATCCTGCCTGAGGAGGAAGGAGAGAGCTACGGGGGTTGGAGGTTGGGGTGCAATGTGCTGTTGAGGAGGGGCATGGTGGGCTGTGGGCAGCCTGTGTGGGAGTAAGACAGGAGTAGCTGCCTCCATTGCACACTCTCACCTGCATGTGTGTGTACGTACACCCCCGTGCCCTGCTTGTTGCTGCCCAGCAGAACATGTTCACTAATTGCAAAATGAAGGTTAATTGTGCACCTCAACAACTGCCTCCCACCAGGGAGCTGCAGGGCTGAGAGATTGTTCCCACCCCTGCAGTCCCCCCATTGCCCTGTATGTAGTCGAATGCTCTCCGTGGGGAACCCCACAGCCCACACAGCATCTGGGGAAGGTCCTACAGTTGCCAGCCCTTACCCCCATATTTCTCTGTGGATCCTTTATCCATGACCCAGCAGGCTGCTGCCCCATACCAAAGAGCCTTGGGGCCAGGGAACACAACTCCCAGAGTACCTTACCCCTGTTCCAGAGGATGCCAGGGAGAAGGAAAAAGCCCAGCAAAACAAACCTGCTTTCGTGAGAGGTCTGAAAGTTTATATCAGTGGATTAAACACCAAAAAAAGCATCCACAATGTGGGAGCTCATTGGAGGGATGGAGCCTGCTGCCCACGCCACCCATGCATGCAGGGGTGTGCAGGTGTACACACACCTGGGAGCACGTTGGGGACAAGGGTGCACACACATAAGGGTTCATCTCTGGGGACTGAGCCTTGTCCCCCTGCCCCGGTGGCCTTGGACCATATGACGGCTCCTCTCTGGCTGCCACCACGAGACTCTATGGGATGCTGCTGCCAACACTGGGGTCCCAGATCCTGCTCTCAGTGGGAAGAGGAGTGCAGGCATGCAGAGCCAGCATTTGAAATCTGGAGACCCCATCCCTGTTCCCCAAAGCCTTTTAAGATGCCACCCATATCTGTGTGGCAACAGCCATCCAGAAAATACATGGCACCTGCCCTGGCTCTGCGATGGGCTTTGCAGAATTGGGCTGTAGAGGACAGCATGAACCACAGGCCCCATGGGACATCAACGAAGGGAAGAGCCCAGGGTCAGTGTTTGCTCCCTCCCCTGGGCTCCCGGGCAGCATGCCAGAGAGAGCAGCATCCCACATTATTCAGGCTCCAGTGCACTCACCTTTCATGCATCCGCCGCCAAGCTGCCAGCTTTGCTCTGCACTGAACTGTCACAGGGAATTACACAGACCGGCTGGCTGAGGGCACAGTCGTGGGGGTGAGGTCTGCCTTCCCCCTCACCCAGCCCGGCTGGGAGCCCTCCTGCCGAGCACAGCACGGCTCAGCTCTGCTCCCACCCATCTGCCTTCAAAGGGAACAAGGGCTCAGCCAAGATGGGCTGGTTACAGATGACAAGGCTGGAGCTGAGCTGACTTACAGACAGGGCTGTCCCACTTTCTGTAGCTGCTCTTATGGGATAGCAACCTCTGGCATCCACATTATTCACACTATCCCCCTGGTTTCAGGTGTTCTGTTAACTTCTCCCATCCTTTGCTGCAGAGCATCCTGTGCTCCTTGCACCTACCTCCCAGCCCAGCACCTTCTGCTCAGGCCCTTCTGACAAGGACTTTAAGCCCCCAGGACAGACAGCCCCAGCTGCTGTGCTCACCCCTGCCTCTCCTCCAGGCACAGACTCCCTCTGTTTGCCATGGGTGCAGTGGGCCCTGCCCACACATACACAGGGTTGCTGGAA